TGGTAATTGCATCGTGATCATGACCGAAAGGTCTAGGTGCTTACCCATTTAAGTCTATCGTGTTGTTTATTGACATGAGCAAGCCAATTTCCTCTTAATTGCCTGTCTCGAACCAGGAGTGTAAGCTAATAGTAAAGAAGTGTCAGGGAAAAATTTACAAAGAGCATTGACGCAACCTTCTACGATGGACCAGTGCTCCGAGCTGGAAGGATAACAATATTTAAGGTACGGGGATGGGTTTGGATTAGCTCCGGCAGAATAGTGGACTTGATTAGCGCGCAAAATATATATTAATATCGATACCAAGAATAAAACTTTATCATTCACAGAATTCATCAATCACATCACTCAGGCCAGATTTGATATTTTTTGTGAAAGCATTTCACCGATTTGACAACAACCAAACAAGAAAAAGGAAAGTCGGCTGACACATTTTGCAGCTTTCTAAAATCCAGCAAGATGAATTCAGACCGACTTCCCTTGTTTGCAATGTAACTGAATAATTTGAGACCAACCTAGAATCAGGATAATTACGGTGACAGGCCAGCAGCTCACAATGGAAGTACACTGTGTCGTAGTCGTTCCAAAATCTGAACGCTCGGATTTTAAACTGTTGGTAGTGTCGAGTTGGATTATAACTGTAGTCAAGCGTCGAATCTGTGGGGCATCTTTTCGTTGAATTAATAAAAAATCGACAACAATAAGAGAATGAAATGAATGAAATTGTAAATAGTAGAGCCTCGGTATGGACTCTTTTGAAAGATCGGTTCACCAACAAGACCATATAAAAACCAAGGACCAAATAGCGATTAAAAATGAATATGTTGGTCTCCCCCAACGCTTCAAATTGAAGGGTTCCAGCGTTGTTATTCACTAGTTTTATCATATAGGCTGTCTTAACCACAGCCTTTTATACTATGTTGCGAAAATCGTATCAAGCTTTGAAAGTTTTGAAAGCTTAACTAGCAGCTGGTTCTACTTGATCACGGTATATTTATATGCTTACCCGTTTTGGAGGAAGGTGTATTGCGGCCACGAATAAAAGCTTGCGTCTTTAGTCGCCTTACAGTTCTCAGCCATGATGACTAAGTCAGCTGAGGACGCCACACTGTACTGTAAATACACATATTCATTCAGAACCACTGATAGAGGGTAGTCTTGCTCCGTGAAGGGCGTGGTAAAAGACGAATTCCTATAGAAGTCCATCTTGAAAGTGAACGAACCATATCCCGCTAAATAGTGAAAATTATAAAAAAAAAGATTATGTCAGCTTCTTCCTTATTTTTGTCCTTATAACCAGCCGAAAAGGTACCTTATGGAACATTCATAGGATTGCATTAAAACAAGGTAGTATTTAGTTCATACAGGGCATTTTATGACAAAGGTCGAAGGAAATATCTATTTCAGGTAATAACCCCAGCCACTTCCCTAAAAAGAACGTTGTACTTAATCATACAGCAAAATTTTCTTCAGAGGTCCAGATTCCCAAGTGAAGCTGGCATGGCAGAGTGGTTTACATGGTTTAGAGCTTTTTATCTGGACGTCTAGGGTTCGGTTGGAATGCTCTGGTTTGTTCCGAGTCTAACTGCTCCGTTTCACTTTGCAATTAACCAGAGGATTTGAGGTTTTCATCAATTATCCTTCTATCTTCGTGGATCACTCTGAATTGCACAGGGGACATGTGCAGTAGCCTGGTAGTTATCGCTCAAGCCCTGGCTAGGTCATTGCGATTTTTTTGGGGCAAAATACGACTCTGACGGTGTCCTTCTCTACTCCTAGTATAGATGGGAATAAAACGGACAGTGAACCCTGATAACTTATTGGAGCTGAGTTAGCCTGCGATTCTCTCGATCGCTTCATGCTAATAAAACCGACTTGAGGTCCACTTTTAACGTTAATGACGTCAGTTGTGCGATGTTAAACACATCGACTCCTAAATAAAGATATCAATTAAGTTCATTTACTTTCATTCCCGAAGTAAATCCTCTGAGGTGTGAAGGCCAGACTCATTCACTTCTCTCTGGAGTATCGGCAGTAAAATGGCAGTTTTATATCATGTGTACGAGTAACCACACCATTGATTATCAGGGCGTCGGCCAGGACCTCATTCCAAAAGATTAGATAATCTTCGGTTTCGTTTCGCTGCGTCCCACAGCTATCTAAAGAGGTGCCAATCAAGAAGTGGGTGGAGTTCTCGGTGGCTTTGCATGAGCCATAGCGCAAGCGTAGCTGATTGACTGTAAAGTAGTGGAATCTTTGCTTTACCAGAAAAACCGTCATACTGTTCTCCCCACACGAAACACTTGCAGTTTGGTCTAAAATATGACAGAAGATTTACAAACTTGAGGATGATTTCAAAATTTTGTTTTAGATGTTTTTCTGCTTCTTATTATCATGTAACTAACAGAAAGGAATATATAACTGAACAGTTAAAAACTCATCACGAACGTCTGACGTTTTTTTTTCATAACCGTACTCAAAATATGTCATCCAAGTTACTCTCCACACAAGACACTTTTTGTAATCCTAGGAAATGAAGACCACCTGGTACATAATCCCAGCACATGATTGTGCTCACTAACGAGCTCACCCCCACTTTAGCTAGTAGAATATCTGACCACCTAATCGGTGGTCCGGTCCGCGTTTGGTGTTTACAGGGGACTAAGATTCAATGGTCTACTCTCGTGAGAAATCGTGACTTTTTTGTTACTTACACACATAAATTAAGAGATTTAACCCTTTACACCGTAACATCAGTATCATTATTCTCCATTCTGTTCTCTATACATCAATCAAGAGCTTCCTTAGTTGATGATTATTTCCTTTATTTTATTCTCACGACCTTAGGGAATAATTCTGCGGTGATATTTTAAGGAGAAGTTAGAAGCTAATCATCCTTAGGGGTCAAAGGGTTAAAACAGGACCCAAGAAACTCGGGGTAAAATGATACCTTAAATGTGAAGATTTCTTTTCGCTTCCTCCTTCAGAAAACCTGATGAATTTTGTATATATATGAAGTCTATGTTTCGGTTTTTCCATATTACCGTGCTGGATACACAGAAGTAGAGCGCGATATGAATTGAGTTAGGGGAAAAACAAAGACACTATGCTTTATCCCGAAAAGCCTGTTTCGTGAATTAAATCCCCTGAAGAGTAATTTAATCACGAAACAGGCTTGTTGGGATAAAGCGTCACCTCCCTAACTCAATTTATATTTAAATATATAAATGTATAGATATATTTTTTGTACATTTCGGGCTGCATTAGCTATTACTCACCAACACAAGTCATATTGTTTATCCCCATCGTTAATCCTCTAGGACATCCGCAGTAAAATGTTCCAAGGATGTTAAAGCACTCATGACTGCAGCCGCCATTATTGATGGCACATTCGTTGATATCTAAAAAAAACGCTCACTCCACTTTTCAGTTCGACAACACTGCATGTTAACCGATTTAGATTATTGAGAGCCTTTATAACAAAGATTCATACGGAGGAAAAAGGCTGAAGCTTCAGAGGTGTTTGCCATTTTGCTTACAAGGTACAAATAGGTGACGATATTTTTGGCTGTTTATGAGAGCAATCAAAATAACTGTTACATTCTAAAGAACTTGTACGGATGTTCTTATTAATTCGTTGTTTTTGTTTATAAAGAGAGCGATATGAATACGAGTACCAGATGATGGTTATTAGTCAACACTTCTCATGTTTCTCACCTGTACAAGACTCCCCGTCCGACTGCAGTTGAAATCCCCTTTCGCAAGAACAGCTGTAACTTCCGGGAGTGTTGTCACAGTCCTGATCACAACCTGCAGGTAACGTGAACTCCGGAAAAATATCTGACGGACCTGAAGCGTTCCAATGCACAGAACAGGAAAATTTAAGCAGATCGGTGATCGAAAACAAACTGCGACAAAATGGTTGAACAATTTTTTCAGCCTTTTTCGACAGAGTATCTGTCGTTATCGCTGTTACGGTAACCTGAAGATACAGTCACTCACCTCTGGAACCAGAGTAGGCACATTCATCTACATCTTAAAGGCGAAAAAAAGGAAAACATTACATAATGCCGCTTTCGGCAAGATTCGTGCAAACGGAGAGGACGGGTGTAAAGGTGTTGTAGACTAATTATACGATGGGAGAATGGTGAGTGAACGCATGAATGACTACATGACCAGGGTGCATGAGAAAAGGGAAGAACCCACAGATTTAGGACGGATGAACGGGAAGAAGAACAATTGGATGGTAATTACTTTGGGGAAATGTACGCCCAGAATCCTTCAAAAGCTAGTTTTACGGTCGTGGTAAAGTGTCGCGC